TTTCCAATTACTTATCACACATATGTATATACATATGTATATCATCATCATCTATAAGTGCACACTGCTGAGGAAAGGCCTCTTCTCACACGGAGAACTCTAAAGACTAGCTATTCTCGCGCGGTTTCACCCGCTACTCGGCGCTTACAGATCGTAGCGTGATGTTTTATAGCCTATAGCACTCAGAAACATTGTAGCTATCTATCAGTGGCAATCCGACCAGCGGTTCCAAAGAACACCCCCTACATACAAACTTACACACTTACAAATTGTACCTATAATATTAGTATAGACTAGCTTCTTTAATAAAAGGTCTATTAAACACAAATGATTTTTCAATTCGCAAACACGAACCAGTAGTTCCTGAGATTACCGCGCAAAAGAACAAACTCTTTAGCTTTATAATATTAATATGTATAGCATATACAATTTTCGATACAAGCTCCATACAAAATGTGTTAAAATAGCTATGCTAGTCAACTTACGTATTTGCGTCCAGTAGGTCGCACGGCTGGGCTCAGAACAGCTTAAGGAATGAGGTGCTTTTCAGTCAGTAAGAGTCTAACACCCCCCTTTTACCATAGAGACCAGGGCGGGAAATCCACCCAAAACACTTGTATCTGGGTGATAAACCGCGCGAGAGTAGCTAATTACATATATATGATACTAGCTCTTACCCGCGGCGTCGCTCCCGTCATTTGAGTACCTACCCTACTCTACCTACCCTACCCTACCTACCCTACTCTGCCTACCCTACCTACCCTACCCTACCTACCCTACTCTACCTACCCTACCCTACCTACCCTACTCTACCTACCCTACCTACCCTACTCTACCTACCCTACTCTACCTACCCTACTCTACCTACCCTACTCTACCTACCCTACTCTACCTACCCTACTCTACCTACCCTACTCTACCTACCCTACCTACCCTACTTTACCAACCCTACCTACTCTACCTAACCTACTCCATCCTATCCCATGTCCTTCTCCTGGCTCTAAACTACCTCCCTGCCGATTTTCAGCTTAATCGGTTCAGCCGTTCTTGAGTTATAAGTGGTGTAACTAACACGACTTTCTTTTATATATATAGATATGTATATGTATACCTATATGTAAATACAGATTGCTAAGTATGTACAGACAAGAATCCGAACTACGAATATAGTTGTAAGTAAGTCACGTAGTACCTACCCCAACCAGGGCGGAAGAAATCATTAATGCCCGGTTCCTATATTTAACGAATCGTCGTTGTATACGCATTACGACCAAATGACATTACGAATAGTTATCTTGACCGTCTACTGACGGTTAAAATATTTATAGGAACACCACAGACACTATAGATCTCCATACAATTCGCTTACCGACATCCGTTAGTTGCAAAACGTCAGTAAGTTGCACTACGAGACGTTTGTTATAGGAACGGTTTTAGCTTACGAGTCGTATATAAAACTACTATTCGTAACTAAAACGGATCGTTTCTCAATTATAGGAACCGGGCATAAATGACTTGAACCCTGACAAAAAAAACACTTGTATTAACGTGGTCTATTGTACAAGTTTTACAGATAGCGGCCGTACAAATATAGGCCAATTGAAACTATGTACAAATGTTCGCGTGAAGATTACCCGATGATAGTCAGCCAGGGGGAATGTCAATTGATTAGTTTATCTATTTTATCTAACTGTTGCTTCTCCAATTGAATGAGTTGTTGGAAGTTACTACGTTACTGCTTCAGTTTTATGTTTGTAATATTATGTATCACATCAGTTGTTTGTTATTTTTATATCATCTTAAGTAAAGTGGTGATTTTGTTTTTCTTTTTTTTTTTTGTTCTTACAGACGGCTTACATACTTATAGTACTTAAATATTATAACTTAAACTAGATTATTAAATTGCTATTGACAAGCCCTCACATATAATTATTAAAACTATCTAAAAAAAAAAAGAATAAATGCCAGATCAATCTCAATATTATTTTGAGAGCCGCTACTGAGAATCAAAGAATGATTTAGTCAAAAGTCTAACTGCGCCCGCCTTTGTGCAAAATTGACTTATGTTTAGGTCATCTTAAGTAAAGTGATGATTTTGTTGTAAAGCGCAGATGGTAATAGTCACTTACGATGTATTCTATTATTATCTTGAACTCTTAAACTTAAGAATACAGTGTATATAAATCTTCATTAGATCCTGGCTTACAGGAGTTGTAGCAGTGCTATTGCTCGCCTAGCCCGGGGCAGATCAGAGAACAACATTCGATAATTTAAAAAAAAAACAGCAGCTGGAACACATTCGCTCCTAAACAAAAGCCAAATGCTACTTGGCAGGTGGCTTATAATCGCGCTAATGTTAAAACAGTTTAGAAAACGTTTCCATCATTTCCTTTGTGTCAGTACTTGAATCTATTCCTATCTGTACTTATGTTATAAATGCGAAAGTAACTCTGTCTATCTGTCTGTATGTCTGTCTTTTTTTTACGCCTAAACTACTGAACCGATTTCTGTGGAATTTGGTACAGACATAATTTGAAACTAGAAAGAGGACGTAGGATAGTTTTATGCCAAAAATCTGCAGCTTGTTTTTATGCCACGCGAACGGAGTCGCGGGCAAAAGCTAGTCTAAAATAACAAAAAAAAAAGGAATAAACAATAGTATACATTGGTAGCATAAAACGCCATTTTTCCACTTCCATCTTCGTGAAGGTAACGTCACACGCATTACACCTGTGTTTGCGCTGCGTACCGCTCCATACATCACAATGTTCTGTTTATTTACTTTGCATCGATAGCCGTGCCATCGAAATTGGGTCGTAATAATGGGAGCGACGATAACTAGACTACTTACATTACGGCCGCCGTATCTTGGCGAGTCTGAAGTTAGCCGCTTGTCTGCGCAATGGATCTTTTAGAAACAAAATTGTGTACTGCGCAGCTAATCGGCTAACTTCAGACTCGCCAAGATACGTTGGCGGTATTGTACGAGCAGATGACCGGCCGTTGTAACAAGTACTTATTGTTGTTAGGAAACTCGATACCGTAATAGATGTGATAATAAGTATTTGGTTGTATCGTAGTGTATTGGACGAAGTATTGCAAGTCTCTGGTTTGAATTTGAATCAACGACGGGTCAAGGTTGTATTATTCCAGTAACCTTGACCCGTCTGCGTTTCTCATTATAATCTCTTCCTGCAGTCCTTTGATAAGAGGAATGTAACAGGCACAAACCATTTTCTACAACACAGCTTTCTTTTCGTTTTCGTCATACATTATACGGTGATCAGTATTTTTCTAAACCTTTTTAATATTATCAAATAAAATAAACACATTCAACTAAGAGGGGCAATGTCTGGCAGTAATATAAATAAGTGTTGCCATACCGATTCAATGATGTTTAATTCGATTCGATGAAGACACACTCAAGTCGGTAAATTAAAATCATGATCGACGCTCGGTATATTTTCTAAAGTGTACTCCTACTAAAAACTAGATAGTAACAATATAATATATTGTTCTTAGATAGATAACATAACAAGTACCTATGTAATTCTTTTTCTTCCTTTTCTTTCTTTTTTTAAATCAACTTTGCCCTACCCTAGGATTTTCTTCTGTGCGATTGCAAACACACAATTCACATACACATCACACCCAGACCCGGAACAAAATTTTGTGGATCACACAAAACAACAAAGAGTTGTTCCGTGCGGGAATCGTATCCTCGACACCGCGAGAATTGTGCAGGCAATTAATAGAAAGGTGTGAGTTGTATCTAGGAGAACCGTATTTCAGTGGTATTTCGCCAAGTGAGGTTATCGGAGACCAAATTCTTAGTTTTTCATCATTTTTCCCTGAGTATTTCGGGGTTAAGGAGAGAAGGGAGAATCTAAAACATCTTATCTCCAAAAGACCGGCAACGGATTGTCAACTCCTCTAGTGATGCAGGTGTCCATGGGCGGCCGGCGACGCCAATGGCTTGCCATAAGGTAATCCGTCCGCTCGTTTATCGCCGTATCAAATAAAAGAAAATGGAAAATAGATACCTATATATATGTAACTTAATATAAATACTATTAAAATATCGAATTTTCAATGCAATAAAACAGTAGGTAAAAAAAATATTCAATGACTCTTCGATATTCTCCACAACCTCCATCTTTCTATTAGTACTCAATATGTATAGTTTACGTAACACCTAGTTCACACGAATTACGTTCTATAAGTATTAAATTTTATTTGGTAAATATTATCTACACAGACATCGTGAAACAGACTTAATATTCATATTTTCTAGCTCCAACTTTCATGAAATAAGTATGGTGTTGAGGTCAGAAAAACAACGTCACGACACACACAAAATTCAGAAATACTGCGTAATTTATTCAGAAAAAAGTATTGAATTTGGCTTACTGTCAAGGTTACAATTTTAAATAATAATAAAAATAATATATTTAAGAACCAAATAGGTACGTACATCTGCTGAATCGCCTAAGCGTCGGAGAGCCAACCTTCGGCACGAATGGGTCGGCTCAACCGGTTTCCAACAACCACAACTTTGAATTTCGCCGTATGAGAAAGGTTATGGGAGGCCCAATCCTTTCCCTCCCAATCCCAGTATCTCCAACATTTTTATCCTCATAAGGCCCGTAAAGCACTCTAAACTCTTTAAGTGGCCATGGGCGGCGTTGATTGCTCACCATCAGCGTGATTACAAATCTATCACATAAAACTATTCGTCACGTCGTTGGTTGATCCAAAAAGTTTAACCTCTGCAATATATAAGCGGCCAGAACGTTTACATACATATAAGCGAGACACAATCTATTTTCTATTGTGTCTCATATCGGCAGACACGTTAATGTCCCTAAAACAACTATGTTTTCTACTTCACTTTTAAAATATCACTCGTACCGTCTTCACAACACCGATGACATTAACTTCAATGTTTACACCTTTAGGTTCAACGTGCAACGCATTACAGCTAACGCATTTGTTTACAGACTTTATACGGTTGTTCCTGAAACGGCTGAGCGAGGCGGACGAGAACATGAACACTTGTACCACGTGCCAGGGCTCCTACAACGAGACCCTGGCGAATTTCCACCCATGGTACATCAGAAAGGCAGCCACCTTAGCCATGCATGCCTTACCTTCGAGACCGGATCTGTTGAAAAAGGTAAAGCTGATCATTCATTATTATGGCTCATTATACTTTGTTAATAAGGTCCAAATTCTATTATAGAATGTTTGGAGTAGATTTATTTTGTGAAAAGAAATTGTGGCGGTAAAAGGCGGCTACTGAACTGCGGGCTATAAGCATTGTAAACTGTACAATGAAATAATAAAATTCACAATTTAAATTGGAGTTTGGTATGTAATATCCCTTTTAAATTCATCACGAACGCGCTTGTTCAATACCCAGGTGTTAGGGGGCGTCCATAAATTACGTGAGGTGTTTAATGTTACGTTGGAGAGAGGGGTCGGCAAATATCAGGCAATTTTTTTTTCTGATTGAAACAAAAAAATATACTATTATTCTATTTAATCCAGGTTGTACATGCTTAAGATTTAATCTTAAGCGTAATCGTAGTACGATTAGGATCATTTACTAATAAAACGAAGATGCAAATTTGTTTTTTTCTTAATTTTTTTTTACAATAACAATCCAACGCGTAAGTAACTCCATTTTGAAAAATCTCACGTGAGATTTGGGGATGGGGGAGGGGGTTGAATAAAAGGAGGGAAGGGCAGAAAATTTAAAAATACACCTCACGTAATTTATGGACCCTTATATTGTTAATATTTTCCATGCGAATACATGGAAACTTACCTACTCATGGAAAACAAATTTAAGAATTATAATTTACCGCAATTATTTATTTATATGCATAACTATTTTTTTTTATATTCATCACGTTTGTTCACTTAAAAAATATGTTTAACGTTTTATTCCCAACTATTTGGCGAAACTCGATTCATTCAAGCTATGTTTGGGGCTCATTTCTTATCAGCCGCGTTGTGACGCGTAATGCCGCTCATAAAATTGTTGAAATTACTCTATTTAAAGTTGAAATTAGTTTGAAATTACTCGAGTTGTGTCGCCAAACAGTTACACAATAAATAAGCTTTAAATATTAATCTTATAATTAAATATTGTTCACAGTAGTTGTAAGAATAAATAAAATATTATAATGTAATGAATAAAAATATTCATATCTCAATTCCTTGTTACTAAATTCACAACGCGTTCATTCGTGTGCCGCCAACATATTATACTCGTATGATAATACGCGTCCATATCTACTATCTATCACAATTGGGCCAATTAGCGGGTCGAATCAATACAACTAAATATAAGTTCATTGTGGGAATCCGTCGCGTGTTACCCAGTCAATGTTTGTTTGTGACGTCATTCCTTCGACTGGATTTCTTTAAGCATATTTTTATGAGTCTTAAGTATAAATCTATATATTTCTTAACTAATCACTTTATGCTCCTTGATTTGAACTTGTTTTCGTGATCAAAGTCAAATAATATAGGTACCTATTGTTATATTTTTTCCTTTGCATTTAGGTATTACGATTTTTGACTCAATAACATCACTTGAAAATGTTTTATTTATAATCTATAGTATATCGATCGAATTTTGATTGAGAGAAATCTTGGGATGCTCTTGAGTGCCCCCTCTTCAGTTACTGACCACTTCAATCAGTGAAAATGATAATCTAATCTAACGTAATATTTATTTTATTTTATTCATACGTGACTAACTTAGTAAACTAAAATGTGTACAGTGGGATGTCTTGATCACTAATTGCAATTTCTTACTGACGTTTTTGACACTTCAAAAGTGTCAAAAACGATTTTATTTCAAAATGTCAGAAATGATACTTTTTTGAAATGTCAACATCAATTCTCTTCTCGTAATGTCAAAAACGATACTGTTTTCGAAATGTCAAAAACAATGCTAACACCTAGATTCACTGACGAACAAACTGCCAGAGTATTATTCTGTTTCGACGTTTCAAAAGTACCAATTTATGGTTTAGTTGAAATAAATGATATTGACTTTGACATTGATACTGTTTCTAAAATACCAAAAACGATACTGTTTCTAAAATACCAAAAACGATACTATGTCCGAAATGTCAAAAACGATACTGTGTCCGAAATGTCAAAAACAATACTGTTTCCAATTTATCTGACAAAGACAAAAAAAAACTAACGCACTTTTAGTGCCAAAACCTCAACAACAAATATTTTCATATGAATTCGATTTCATCGTACTTGTGTCCAAGCGACATCCCTACCGTCCTCCATTCAATCTTTTGTATTCATTTTCTTTAATTTGTAACAATAAGACGCGCCTTACATTGTTCCTATCGTGCGTCAAAACCAACGTCGCGTTCTATAAAACAATTCCATTTACAATACTAAAATTTATGTCTTATGAAATAAAGTCTATAATTGCTTGACGAGTGGTATCATTGAGTATCCTTATTAAACAATATGCTACGATTATACTGGGTTTTTTTTAAGTATTAAGAAAATTGCACTTTGAGCGCTGTGTCGAGTTAATAAAATTTAATTTTTTTTACGTTTATAGTTCATTGCACATACACTATGTTGAATATACATACACTATACTGAATTATCTGCCACATATATTTATGGGATATATCTATACCAATATTATAAAAAGGTAAAATTTGTAAGTTTGTATGTAGAGGGTAATACCTATATGGAACGTTGGTCGGATTTCCAAAATTCTTTCACTGATACATAGCTACAATGTTCCTGAGTTCTATAGGCTATAAAAGATCACGCTACGATCAAATGGAATCGAGCAGCGAGTGAAACCGCGCGGGAGTAATTAGTACTTTATAAGAGGGCGGTATAACTAGCTCCTAATATGTTTACCTACCTCCTCAGAATATAAAATGTCTTGTATGGAGTTAATTATATTTATTATGCCGTTGATCGGTAAACGAGCTGACTGATAACCTGATGGTCAGCAATCGTCGTTGCCCATGGCTACCTGCAATACCAAATTACAAGTGCGTTGCCATTTTGCGTCCAATAACCTTTGTTTGTGTCTCGCCAGGAAGTTACCTGGCGAAACTCAACGCTGTGGTTGATTCACGCCGATAATTCGGTAAAGCCGATGCATTTGTTTTGAAACATGGCTTTGCTACACTTAAAGCATTATTATTAATATTTTAATGATTAAATTTCCTTGTTTTCAGATCTTCGGAACGGACGAAAGCCTAACAGCAGCGTTAGCAGTGTTACCCCAAACGCTGGCTTCTTGCGACGAGGTTTACAAACGTGTAGAACAACTATACACAGACTTTGACTTCCACGAACTTCCTTAAACATCGTAAGATTTACTTTATAAGTAGAAAATGTAAAAAAATTACTCCGGTGGAGTTTCATCTATGCTGCGTACCTCTACTTAGAGCAAAGAGGTTGAAATGCTCACAATTTTTAGTAAAGGCCACCTGTTTTGCGTTCAGTAGGTGGCGCTAGTGTCGAATTAAGACTTGTTGGTCTAATAATGATTCTTATCCTCGAGTGCTCCCTAAAGTTTTAGTGCAATAGCCTTGATTATATAAAAGTGCGCGTATGTACACTTGTCATTCAGATTGATACTATGTATATTGTATATACTGAAGCCTTTATTGCCGATATTTCCTCAATGTTTCTTATACCCACAATTATTAGAATCCTACTTCAATTTGTCTTTAATAAAAGAATAATTCATATAATAAAATAGCTCAATCAACCAACTTAGTTTTATAGGTAACACTTGAATGAAAACTTCTTTTATAAAGTAAAATCACTTATCAGACATGAAGATAAGGTCTATATTTGCATAACATAAGTGGAGGTTTTAGTACTGTATTACGGGGCTTTACAGTTTTTGAGTGATTTATTATCAGGTAAACTATCAAATGGTTTTAATCAAGTATTAGTGCGTCAACGTTCACAACATTGTACTTATGAAGAAGAAAAATGTTCTTTCGTTTGATTGATCAATATCATTCATATTTGTATTTAATTTAATATATTTCTGATTTTTGAACAATTTCTATAAAAAAAAAACAAAGCTATCCACTTATTAATCCCTAATACAGCCACATTTTTACACCAACCACGGATTTATTCAACAATCCAGTTCTAGCAATTTTTTTTTAATAATTTTACTTAATTAAAACTTCATATTGAAAACAAAAAACGATATATCAACCAGTCATAAAATTTGCAATATCGGTACTTAAATCAATTGAGTATTGATTATATCTCTCTACGTACATACGTACATCGATATGAATATATAAACTTATTTCCGTGTTTCGTCATTTTAGACTTTTTAATTATTTTCTATTATGGCCGCAAAAGATGCTTATTTATAAAAATTACCTTTACTATCCTAACTTATTGCTTGACATTATTAATTGTCATTTTGAACAACACCTTATTCCTCGCTTCTGGCGACAAATCCGACACGAAAGTCTGGTTTGCGTGGTTCTAATTTTAAAACTAAATATACCCAAAATAAATAAAAATATATAATTTAAACTTTCCCTAATAGGATTGTAATTTTATTTTTGTAACAAAGTAGTTGTGCTAAATATGATCTCAGTATAACAAGTACAGATAAATTGCATAATATAATTCATTAGTTATAAAAAAATTATATATTTACAAAAAAATATTACCTAACTCATAAATGATTAATTAAAAAGCGGAATAGTAATGGCAACATTTGGAGCTGTCAATCAAATGTCACTTGTTGACTCCCGCCAAAACTAACGGCCGTACTTTGTTAGGTATATAACCTAACCTACAATTTATGAAAACATAGATATAATTTTTATTTCACCTTTTATAAAATTATTTTTATGCAAATGCTTGATTTTATGCCAAAGGAAAGAAATTAATATAAAAAAATACGTTTCCTACTTATGTCTTTTTACTTTAGAACAATTTTCACAGAGTAGCTAATTACTTCAGTATTTTTAATACTTAATAGAAATAACAAACTTCTTGATACTGTATTCAAACGATTTGCAAACCCCTTTTATTTGTAACATCTTTTAAAACTAATTAATTTTAGTATTGTGATTTAGTTTAGGGTTTAAATATTGCCAATGTTATTAAATGAGCAACGAAACACCATTTTATTTTTATATTTTATCACTAACACATTTTTAGTTTTAAATTAATGTTAAATGCTAAAATGTTTTAAAAATAACAAAACTAGACCAAAAGTAGTTTATAAATGCAAATTTCTACCTTTAAGCTGTAACTAGATTTAGCTGATTGTCAGTATTTTTAGTAGAGCTATTGCCATTGATGAGTTTCGAGTGTTTTAGAATTTCGAAGTGTTGCCAGACATTCTTTGGATTATAGGGATAGACATGTAGACGGGCTACGGAGTAAAAGTGAGTGATCCACATAGCTTCCTATAAGAGTTTTCATACTCATTAGATGGCGCCACTGTGATGTAAAGTCATATTAAGCTGATTGTTATTAAATAATCTGTTTGGTCGACCTACGCCTTATAAAAAAGAGTAATATATAAAGATAACTTAGCTTTTTACAACAAATTACCGGTTTTGCCTTAAAATTTTCTTAAAAAAATTGTACTTTATAAGGATTTGAACACTTAACTTGCTATTACATTTTATAATCATGATGTAGAGTGTTGATTAATTGATATATTGTACGCGCATTGAGCTCAATTGTAACTATTGCTCATCCAACAATATCTGTAGCTTTTGATAACGAATTGTTACGAATTTGAGTGTTAAAACAAAATTCAGCAAAATTGTAATATTAAATTATGAGCTTGTAAACGCTTCATTATTTATTCTAAGTTCAAAGTTTGGAAGACAGATGGACAAATTGACTTTTTACACTAGCTAGATGGCGCTGTTAGCGTTTAAGATCATTTCGTTTTAATCATTGTTACTATAATAGAATTTTAAACCTATAATCGTGGTAATTTGAGACACCACGCTAGGTGCGCGGGCGCCGGCGTTCGCTTAGGGTGATTAATATTGTTGTATGTTAATACTTAATCAAAAAATAATACAGATGAAACACTCTGAAGGCAAAATATACTATTAACAGCCGTTTTCAGAGATATTTAATGTTCACTCAAACAATTCCTTAGTAAAGATTTCGCTAACGGCTGAAATAACAGCTGAGGACTCGTTTGATTACCTATATAATAACTGAGTATAGCGATTAGTCTACAATAATGAGTCTAAGTTGTCTTTCTGTCTTAAAAACTTTAAAACATATAAATTTGAAGCTACTGTTAAGGAATCCATAACAAATCTGTAACTACTGTTAAGGAATTCGAGCGTGCTTAATAGTAATAATATGGCTAGCTAGAACTGCTAATATGTGTGTGAGAATGATAGTAATAAATCATTTATTTTATTAGTAATTTAGCAACAAAATATCCTTCATGTATCCAACTATAATATTCTAAGTGTACATCGTTTAAAGTACTTAAAACTTTTTTATTTACCTCCACGCTGTCATTAAATGGTTGCTTAACTTTTCGTAACACTATTGTTACTTAGGAATGGTTTAAGTAATCATTAAAAGACATGTAAGGCAGTATATGAACCTAATAAAATGATGCCTACATTCTGACGGTTGATGCGTTAGCCGGGCAATCATCTGCTGTGCAACGTATTGTGGGTTTGACTCTTGCACGGAACAACTCTTTGTGTGATCTACAAGTAGTTGTTCCAGGTCTAGGTGTGATGTGTATGTGAAATTGTATGTTTGTAAACCTTCAGCCACCGCGCCAACCGTGCAGTCAACTAACAATAAACTATAAGCGTGGAAATAAAAAATGTTACCTCAATTATAAAGCTTGTAGCTGAAACTATAACACTACTTATCTTTTAATATCGCAGCTTAATTAAATACACTATATAAATCAAATTACAAAATACAAAACTTAAGAATGAATGATTTATTTCAATAGCAGTAAAAAAATGTGTAACTTTTTCGAAAATATCTATTTTTTATGTAAATATTATATACTTAAGGTTCCTTTTGGTAATTTTTATTTCCTATTACTATCCTTATGGGCGAAAATGGAATGTTCGTATTTTAATATTAACATATACATAATTATATTAAAAATGTGTATTGCATGTATGTATTACTATTGTAGTATATTTGTTACGTGTATTTGTAAAATCGTATCTATAAAATCATGTTTTATGTAAATTAGTCAGAAAATCAATTTTGAACGAATTTTACACCTCATGCCCAGCTAACATTTAGATATAACCTAGTTTTAAATATATTTATTTAACTAATACACCTGTAATTATGCCTTCAACTGTATTACTATATGCTTCAAACATTCCCAAATCATTCCTAGTTAAGGGAAAGTGTTTTATAAAGTTTTGTAAGGTTTCAATGAATAAAGTGTTTTGCAAAGCATTTTCTTTTTTATTTTATCTCTGGCGGTTTGTCTCAGTGCTCGCCTCTCATTGGTCGTGGTATGATGTTATAAAGGTTCTTGACAAATGGTCTATTCAACACAAAAATAAATAGGTAATATCAGTGTTTTGAGTGACCATTCCCGCTAATCCAAGGTCATTTTCGTCTTGTCCAATAAACGAAAAATAGATTTTTACAGAATCGGTGTAAAAATGAAACCCATATTCAAATGGTTTATTAACCATGGTCGCAAATGCAATGTCGTTATTAAAACGAAATATCGACATCGCAAAGTTAAGTATCGCACATCCCTCTTTCTTGTAGGTATTTATTTTTCGATTCACTGTGCCCGGCGCTTGGGGCACGCCAACTGTTTTGAAGTCAGGCGGTTAAAAGGTTAATATTCCCCTATTTATTATCGCCCAATACTAATCTTCAGGTGTTGGTGAAGATACCTACCTACTAGAGCTAGGTACTTTTAAGTGTTAGCCGTGCTTCGGCACATAGAGGCCGGTTCCACCAGAGTTATACCAGGGCCCCAAAGGAGGTCGATGTGAAACAACCACAGCCTCTTAAGGTAACCGGAGGCCCAATCTATCCCCTCCCCAATCCCTAAATCCAGGAAAGTCATTACTCCTAAAACGCCGACAACGTCCTTGTAACACATGCGTGGCTTTTCCCCATGGGCAGCGCAGATTGCTGACCATCAGGTAGGTCCGTATGCTCATACTAACTAGCTACTATTTTTTCTAGCGGACTAGGAAGAAACTTTGTGGTATATAATCACTCAAAATTTCGGTTCACCCTAATAAGTCTAAGATTTAAAATTGCCATTTCTGCCAAGGTCATTTCCAACCTGAAGCCATATATTACGCACGGCGGTGCCTGTACAGCCGGCTTAAGAGCAACGTGTCGCAGGTACGAATCCCTCACGAAACAACTCTTTGTGATCCACAAATTATTGTTGTTTCGTGCTGGGTGTAATGTGTATGTGAAATCGTATGTCTAAACGCATTCACGACACCGAAGAAATACATATTGTTGGGGAATGTTTCAAAAGAGATAAAACATCGAATAAGTAAATCAAACAATAAATAGGGATTATAAATATCGCATTTTATTCGCTGCACTCACTTCATACAACGCAAAAACAACATAATAAGTATAGTAGAACAATCTAACATTATATTAATATACATTTGGAAACAAATCTGTTAATTTTATTCATGACCTTGAAAATTTAAAACTTGACATATTTTTATAACAAAGTCAGCTATCAGTGACACAAAAATGGCATAAACGGTGTCCAATCGCATCTAATGAATAAAAAAACAATGTATTCTTATACAGGTGGCATTTTGAACAAGGGACATATTAAAGGTGCTCAATTACAACAGCTTTATCCATGGAGTAACCATGGAGTTTCTTGCTCGTTCCTCTCCATAGGAATCTACACTTTGGATCAAACAAATAGCTTCACTAGAAGACAGACTGACACGCTTAAAGTTAACGCTCCTGAAATACTTTTTCCTTTTTTTTGATTGACGTTTAGAAGTGCCTACTGTGGTCTAATTGAAATAAATGATTTTGACTTGACATGGGACCAATATCGAAATCATAAAAATAGATTTATTTCCCCATACAAATCGAAACAGTTGATTGATCATTTTGTATGAAGAATAAAAAAAATTGATATTTCGATATTGGTCTCATGAAAAACGTTGTTGTAATTGAGTACCAAAATCGGCTATATATTCCTCATTCAAAATGCAAACCTGTATAGGTTCACATAAGTTTATTTTTTTTACAATATACCGACACGATTTGACAAATGTTTATGCCACTTCCCTGATAGCACAAGTAAGCACAGATCATGTTAAAGCAACGACCAGACGATAATGAACTTTACCAGTAATGTATTAAAGTTTAAACATCTATTACCAGTAGTCAAATATAATATTGTACATGTGGATATCTCTAGTTACTTTGATTAAAAAGAATTCGCTAATACTTTCAGTCGAATTGGGACTTAAAAGCTTAGGAAATAAAGTACAATCTTAAATGATCCAAAAATTATTTGATCTCTGTTGAACAAATAAAAAATCTAATAACAATATTTTGAAAAATGCAAAAGAAAATCGTTTAAACTAACTTCAAATGTACATAGTCAATATATAAAATGGAACGCAATGAAAGCTTGCAACAATGAAACCATTTGGCGACAATACAGACTAAATAAAAACCGCTTTACATATACATATATATATATATATAGATAAATATAGCCTGCCAAAGTATGCACACCTTTAGAAATAAATTACATAATATTTTGAAATATTAGTCTACTTAATCCTAATTGCAATTTTATAAGGTATAGGATCACTATATTATATTATTGTTAAAAGGATGGGGGGGATCTAGAAAGACTGTCGTTCACTGTCTTGATATCATAACCACCTTTTTTAAAAGTCAAAAAGGCATTTAGATAACCTTATAGTGGGCGAGAAACACCGCCCATGGACACAGCCAATGTGAAAGAGGACTTACTCCAGCGAGTTTCTCAGGTCCAAATAAAAAAGAATATGTTCTATTTTTGAATGTTTGAATTTTGTGTAAGCAAGATACAATTATACATATTTAATGCTGGAGTGACAAAGACAGGTTATAAAAGGTAATTGGACGACATTTTGAAAATATGTTTGTATACAATCATTAACTATTGAATATTATTCTAATTCATATAATAAGATGAAAAATAATTGACAAAATCATTTAGGGATAAAAACCAATATTTTGAGTAACTTGTGAAATGGAAGTATTGTGTAATTAAAAAAAGTATACATAACAATAGTATATATGAATTAACACAAAGCTTATAATTTATCACAAAATTTCAAAATGTCCACTCAATATAAGCATAAGTATACCAACCATATCACTTACGAATACAGATAAAAAACATCTGACAAAGTTCTAGCAACGACCTATAGCTAGCTACATATGCATAACTATTGGAAACGAGAAAACGGTTATTCATGTTATATTTAATAACTAATTATTTTAAAAACACATTTGTATTAAATATTGTGAGACATACAAAATTAATAAATTATGTTTAATGGGGTATCAAAGTAACTGTTTAGCGAGTCAAGTGTCGCACACGCGCGCACTCGCACTCACTCGCTCACTCACGCATTCTCTCATTCATTCATTCATTCACAGACTTACGTACTCACAAAAACGAGCGCGCATTTCCGAATTTTGACATTGACAATTAGATTTTTTCACTTTTCGTCAGCGCTCTGACCTAACGTAGAAACATTACCATAAAATATTAATCTTGTACTAAGAACTCAGCTGCGCAACGTTCATCGTGCTGTGTATAGCGCAATACAAACTCATGAATATGAGCCCCCAGATTAGCTCGAAACTAGTCCAGTTATCTCGTTAAACAGTTACGCAAATATTCTATTAAATATAATTTAATGTTATAAACATGTTATTTATTAACTTTAATGGCTAACATTTTATAATATTTCTGAGAAAACAGGTTACTTTAAGTGGGTTGGAGTCAAAATATGAAAAATATAAAAAAGTAAGTATGCATCCTACTTATATAATAATGTGAAAGTTTTTGAGAATGTATGTGTGTAAGTCTGTTATACTTTTACGATAAACATCGTTTGCTATATTTGGTACGTAAATAGGTGATACCCCGGATTAACACATAGGCTGCTTTAATATCAACACACCACGCGGGCGAAGCCGCCAGCGGATACTAGTTCAAAAGTAATTAATGTAACAAAGCAGGATATCGTGAAATAAATTTTGTTATACACCATACATCCTAATAACTACATATTTCTTCTCGAGAAGGTTTGAGAGATTTCTCAAATCTTCTCTGTGAGAAGAGGCCTGCTCAGCAGTGGGCATATAAGTGGTTGATGATGTAATAAACCAATAATACTTCTTTGCTAAAAATCTTTAAACGGCAATCGCACTTGCTGTCATCAGACTAACGAATAAGCAAACCTAATTACTTAGAAATAGAGTTGAAAATCAATTAAAAAACAGTTTCCGGTACTTTGGTGAGTTGGCTGTAGAAGAACAAACGCTTAATATATTGGACAGATTTATAATTATATTACAACTATGAGCAACTTATGAGCTAGGTCGGATCAAACACTAGTGTTGCCAGACCTACTTCAAAAAAATTACTGTTTTATATTATTACAATTATAATAGCCAAATATTTATTTAGTTAGTGATACAACGCTTCATTTATTTCTCATATTACAATAAAAAACCTCAATTAGCTAGATGCTACAAATATTCACAGAATGTTAATAATTATAGGTATTGCCAGACGAAATAATTCCTAAAAAACCATATGTTACTAGACGATAAAATTAAATAAATATAATTCACAAGATATGTCAAATTGCTTTCGACTTTTGGACGATCGACACGACAATCTACACAGATTGTAAAATAAACACAATAATCAACATCACCTTATAAAAGATGCGATTTGTCGTGCGACAATCGCGATGGTTGCGATGAGTCGCGTCGCAAGAGCCTACATGATGTGTCAAGCTTGCGGCGGCTCGTCCATTGGGTTGGCGCGGGGCAGTTCATCGTTCTGCGTTTCTTCGCGCGTTTCTGGGAATGTCGCGGACGACGATCCGCTGCGACTAGTCGACGTTGATGTCGCAGTCGACGAGTCGCCGGCTGGCGTGCTATTTGAGTCCCTGCAAATGTTACAGTACTCAATATTCGTTAAATAATGAAGTCTCGACTACCTTGGATACACATTGCTCATGAATGTGGGCCCTAAACATGGCTTGAAACTAGTCGAGCTATCTCGTCAAACAGTGAGTTGCATTTAAGCTACTATATAAGCAGATTAACATAAATCTAATTAATTACGTATCCTTATCGTATCTGTATCGTAGAGCACTGTCTCCTTATTCAAAATAAAGATGCGATACGGTAACTACGGTAACATCAGAGATGTAACAAAACAACATTTTTTTTTCTTTCTTCAACAAATGTTGCCCCACACTAGTATTTTTCTCTTGCGTCGTGGATGACTTTACAAACATACAAATTTACATACACAAGCCACTCACCACATACCAGAAACAACAATTTGAGGATTACCAAAATGTTATTCCGTGCGGGAATCGAACCCGCGACACGTTTCACAGCAGCCAGTTGCGCCGAACTTTTACTGACTAAAATCCCCCCTGTTCCTTCTCCTGCTCTGGGCGGAGGTCGCGGTGCCTCATTGCGCTTACCCCGCAACCCCGGCTGAACATCAGCTCTATAGGGCCCCGTCTGTGGTGGTCTATTGGTTCGTTGAGGCACGCGCGGTACGCTAAGCGCCGTGAGAAGTTATAGATATACTTACTTATGGAACCCGTTGGTCTGGCACGTGTTGTAGGCGCCACAGTGCTGGCATTTGAGCCCCACCACGTGGAACTTGACCGTCGATAGCTACAATACAATTTGTTACACGGTTAATATTAGCTAATAGCAAATCATAATAATTACAAATAGCTTCACTAGAGGACAGAGCGTCAGACTGACTCAAGCTTTTTGGTAATCATTTTTGTTTGACGTTCAAAAGTGCTTATGGTGGTCTATTTGAAATAAATGATTTGACGTTGATTTAGAATATCATCGGCGACAGTAAAATATTACTCACACATGAGCTACCATAATATTGACCTTTTACTTTTTAAATTATTTTGACTTTTTAAAACAATTAATTAATGTTTTAGTCATTGATCCAGTAATACGCTTAATGTTATACTTTTATTACCAAATTTTTCAAATAATAGTATTCTATTTACGTTAAAATATTATAATATGATCTCATACAAAATTCATAGATTAATATCGTTATAGACATTTTAATAAAAGTGATGAACTCGACCATTTCAACTTCCTAGTTTTATTCGTGTGTTTTTTATCAGCGGAGCGGATGCTTCTATAATATTCAATGTTATAGAATTGACAAAAAAGACTCGCTATCCGGACAGATTCTTAGAAGATTTTAAGAAGTTTCGTTTACCTTATGACAATCCTTGCATAGAATAGTTGCCTTGTAGTCCGCGTATTCAGGCGGCATCGGCGTAGCTGCCACTTCCGAGTCCAAATAGCTCCATAACTGCAAACAATATTATATTATAAACTAACATAAACAACATTGTGTAATTTTATATTTTACTTGCTTTTGCCCGCGACTCCATTCGCGTGGAATAGTGTCTTCCTGCAGATTTTTGGTATAAAAACTATCCTATGTCCTTTCTCGAGTTTCAAACGATGTGTGTACCAAATTGTTCAGTAGTTTAGGCGTGAAGTAAAGACAGACAGACAGAGTTACTTTCGCATTTATAATATTAGGGTGGATTTGGATTTTTAATTAATATAAACAATATTGTCTTGTCATTTTTATGTTAACGTTAACGAAACGTTACCGCGTTTAGCCGCCCGAGTTGTTATTTAACTTGGGCCAACCAATCAGATTGCTGCACTTTATAAACGTATCGATCGTGCTAACGCATAATAATACTAGCTAGTCTCCAATAAATAGAGTGTCCTACGAAAATTACTATGCAAAAATAAATTTTGTACTTACATTAGTCATATCGATCATGCTAGTCTGGCAGGTGGGGCAGGCGTAATGTCCGGAGTGCAGAAGTTGCTCGAAGCAAGGTCGGTGCAGCAGGTGCCCGCAGTCCGGGATGTGGCACGGGATGCGGGACGTGTGGATGTCCTCCAGGCACACGGGGCAGTTCGACCGGGACACGTTTTCCACGCACTACGGAATAAGTTTCATAATTCTGTATGTTCAAGTTGGTTGTAAAACATTAAATATGATAAATATTTATACACAAATACAATTATTTTGTTTAAATTTTGTAATATTTACACCAATTTTTTTTTTGAATAAGCCTGTATTTTACGTGATTAAGAAGTAATATGGGTGAACTATATAATTATCTTCTTAACAACTTATTGTAACATTTTTTTTATGTAATAGTTCGGCAAACGAGCAGACGGATTACCTGATGGTAAGCAATCAGCGCCGCCCATGGACACCCGCAACGGAGGAGTTACGAGTGCGTTGCCGACCTTTTAGGGATTAGGGATTTGGAGATTTAGGGATTGACGAGGGATTGGGGGAGGGGAAGGATTGGGCCTCCGGTAACCTCACTCACACGGCGAAACACAACGCTGTGGTTGTTTCACACCGGTTTTCTGTGAGGCCGTGGTATCACTCCGGTCGAGCCGACCCATTCGTGCCGAAGCATGGCTCTCCCACACTTAAACTATCCATATTAGCGAATAAATGAATTCGGATATGTATACAATCGTAGCCTTGTCAGAATATGCTTAAAGTGTGTTCGATTCGAATTGTATTTAGGTAATATTTTAATTATTAATAGACATTATGCTTTGTGCATGGTTAGGTAAGTAAACTGTACAAGTCAACGTGACTGAACCTATGCTGCGTTGCCCAATGCGCAGTTTGCGCTCCATTTAGCGCAATTTGCGCCCTATTTAGCACAATTTGCGCAACATCACACTTTTTATAGCGCAATCATTTCGAATTGTTATAAATGAAATCAAAATAACCTAAAAACTATCTGAACTATATAACTTATCTGAATTAACAATACTACGACTTAAATAATTTAAATGTAAAAGAAAACGTTGCCCCATACTAGTTATTTCGTCCTGTGTTATGGGTGCGTTTACAAATAAACAATTTCACATACACATCACACCCAGATCCGGAACAACAATTTGTGGATAACACAGAGAGCTGTTCCGTGCAGGATTCCAACCCGCGACACGCTGCACGGCAGCCAATAGCTCCAGCCACCGCACCAACCGTGCAGTCGAACTGCCAAGTTATAAACTGCCAAATATATAAGTGCACTCCAAGTTATCTCACCCTATGTCCGACTTGCTGCAGTTGCACAGGTAAGCACATGTTGCACCGCTCGCAGTGGAAGAACCGGTCGCGCCCCCCCACTCGGCAGATGCCGCAGCCCTCGCAGTGGTACTGCCGCTTGTCGTCATCGTCGAACAGGTTGCAGATCAGGCATGTGTACTGTGGACAATAATTTATGCGTTAAATATTGTACCTATACTACTCTCGCGCGCTCGGCTCCATTTAATCGTAGTGTGATGTTTTATAGCCTATAGCACTCAGGAACATTGTAGTATCTATCAGTGAAAGAATTTTGGCAATCCGACCTGCGGTTCCAAACTAACAAATTTTACCTCTTTATAATATTAGTATAGATTTATAGAGTATAGAAGTATAGATGGTAATTTTCGGTAAGCTTTCGCCGAAATCCGTAAATCACAAACAATATTGCTGAATATCGTCTACGTACATCATTAAGAATTTGAAAGTTTGTGATAAAATAATTAATCATTATCATTACAATCGTCATCAACGTCGACAGCTTACATCTGAGCAAAGGCCTTTTCTCACACGAAGAAGATATATGCACTTAATAACATAATTATTTATATGAAAACAATACACAGATAAAACGAATTATGTTTTGGAGTCGGTACGTCAACTCAGTATAAAATGTAAAGAGGTATGACGTCACACAATTTTCTAAATCAATATACCATCGAATGTATTATTGGATTCGATTCGTACATGTTGTTTTGATGAGTCACCAATTAAGTAGTTTCCTAGGTCAAAAATAAATTAATTCGTCGTTTCAATACAATGAAGAATAAGTATAAGTACTTTTATACATCGATCGATTATTACAATAAGTTAGATATTTTGTAGCTAATTATTAAGAAATAAGTAAGCGTCATATGTTTTTAATACTTTCAAAGAAAAGTATCGTTTTTGACATTTGGATAAAAGTATTGAATTTGACTAGTTGGAAACTACCGTATTCCATTGCTCTCTTTGCAAAACAAATGCTTACAATGATATTAAAAAAAAATCCCCACATAATGTGTAGAAGGTAGGCACCGCCCACTTAATTAACATTCCTATTAAAAAATAGGTACTAAGTTATGCATAAGTTGGATTGACGATTTGATTAAGTCGTTAACACGCGTCGCCGCCCGACCAGAACCAGACCCGAGCGTACGGCGCATAGCGTTCCGCGCGCGCCTCAAAGAGCCAATAGACCACCACAGACGGGGCCTAATAGGGCTGATGTTCAGCTGGGGTTGCGGGGTAAGCGCAATGAGGCACCGCGATCTCGGCCCAGAGCAGAAGAAGGAACGGGGGGTTTTTAGTCAGTAAGAGTCTGACACTCCCTCCCACCCGGCCCGGGGCGGGAGAAGTCATTAGATGATAAGCAGCCTATGTGTTAATCCATGGTATCACCTGTCTGCATAAAATTTTTGCGTGAAAGAATAACAAACATATGTCTATACATTCTTGTTGACATACACTAAAATTTTCAACATTTTCCTTCGCTTTTCTTATCTCTTTTTTTAATTACTAATCAATCTTGTAGGCATTTGATCAAATATAAATCTGCCGGCCTCATAATATCATAAAATAAGACGAAACATTAAAAATGCAAAAAAAACATGTCCTCATAATTTTTTCGCTTTAGGTGTACCTTTTTTTTAAATAAATAAATAAATAGATGATTTTCCCCTGACAAAAAAAAGTCGTAAACACGCGTGGCGTGCTGATAACTATATGGAAGGGTGCAGTATACACGAAACACGCCATGACAAAATTTTATAAGCAAGGGGCGCACAAAAGCACGAAGTTTTTAATGGATTTTAAACTTTAAATTAGAACGATAAAGTAGAAATTCTTTTGGGAGAGTAGATGTGCTACGATTTTGAAGTATTTTTCGCAGGAGTCATGAAATAAAATAAATTATTTATAACGATCTGCAGTTTCTATGAGTGCTCTCGGCCTATATACATATTTTCCAAATAAATGTGGTGATCTTGCCAAATCTTGATAATATAACATTCTGAAACATATTCTAGAAAATTGTGAAGCTAAAATTGAATGAAAAATATTTTATTAATGTCGTTGATCACTTGGCAGTGTAATTTTCACAAATTTCTGAACTAAATAATACATGTATTTCAACAGTCAGGCTGGAGCAAACATGTAGTCTTGCTATCAATAGCAAGCCTGCCTTTGAAACAGAAGGAAAAATATGTTTCATCAATAATTTTTCAAGTTGGTAATTTTTCAATTGATTACACAAACAAAACTAAAATGCAACAGTAACTGAATTATACTGCTAAAAATAAATGTTGAAAGTCATTTTCGCTAATATTGGCCTTCTTGCCTTTATAACTAGAGCTAGGCCCATGGTAATGATATTATATTGGGCCAGTCTTGGTAGCAGAAGATAGTACAGATGAAAGCAAATTTGTATCATACTCAAGGCTAATAAAAAGCAATAAAATACAGTGGTCATAACAGATAAGATACTACTGTTTGTATAGCTTACGAAATATAACAAGTTCATACTCATACATTAGTAACACAAATCTGTTTTTAAAAATAGAACTATAGCGAAAAAATTATGAGGACATGTTTTTTTTGCATTTTTAATGTTTCGTCCTATTTATGATATTATGAGGCTGGCAGATTAACATTTGATCAAATGCCTACAAGACTGATTATTATTTAAAAAAAGAGATAAGAAAAGCGAAGGAAAATGTTGAAAATTTTAGTGTATGTCAACAAGAATGTATAGACATATGTTTGTTATTCTTTCACGCAAAAACGGTTAAAATTTTTTATGCAGACAGGTGATACCATGGATTAACACATAGGCTGCTTATCATCAGCATAACAGGCGGGTGATGCCGCAGGCGGAAGTTAGTATATCATATTCAATTTATAAATTGAATTAACGAATACATATTGACAAATGTGGTAAACACTGATGTTCTAATGATGCAATATTACTAAATAAAATAAGATAAAGTTTGATTAAATTTTAATTTATCCCAAGTTATTTTAGGTTATCTGATAACAACAATACTATTTACAGGCATTCCAAAAATAATGGTACTACTTTAATTCATCATATTCATATTCATTTAATCATTTGCAAACATGGGTACATAATACACAGATGTTAACAAAGTTTAGTTTCTCCATATTTTGCCTTCACTTGGCATCATCACACAACTTGTTGATAATTTCCAGAGGCATATGCTTAACACATCCAGTGCCCCCGACGCGTATGTGCGGTGCGTTAAACGCACATACGCGTCGGGGGCACTGAATGTGATAATTATGAAAAAAACAAAATTAGCACTCATGATCAGACTTAAGCCCATTGAAAGAGTTCAGTCTACACAGGTATTTTTCATCAGAACCGCTTATTAGATCCTAATAGGGAACATACCGAGGTGTCTTTAAGGCACAAGTGATTTTAGGTTGCTCATGGGTAGGTGCACCCAATCTTAGGTTGCATCATCCCTTACCACTAAGTGAGATAGCAAAAAAAATCAGCCCATTGCGAGTTAAAAAAATAAGATAATAATCATTGTTTGCTTACAGAACTGAGTTTTATCAAGATGCATAAGAAAGAAAGGTGACAGTAGTCTGTGTATTGTAGGTTGAATTTCGAAATTGAGTAAATACTCTTTGTGTGACCATAGATTATTGCTTTAGACATTTGTGTTCTCCTATAAACATACATATAACCAAAAATAAATTTGCAAAACCAACAATCTTTCTTCCTACTAATATTAAAAATGTGCATGTTATTATGTTTGGATGTTTGTAACTCAAACAGCCAAAACGGCTGGATAGAGCTGGATGACATTTGGCAAAGGCATAGGATATACTCCAAAATAGGAAATAGGCTACTTCTTATCAACACACCATAGGGGCGAAGCAGCGGGTGCAAGCTAGTATTTCTATAAATAAAACATACCTTTCCAAACCGCACACCGCAGTTCTCACATTCTTCCTGCACCTTCTGTCTTTTATCACATTCTGTGCATATCAGCTCTGTGACAGACTTTCTGTTGAAGTAGTGCTGCTCGTTCTCATCATGGCAGTACCGGCAAACATACACCTTGTTGCAGCATGGTGTCTGAAATAAACAGCATTTTTTTCTAATGAAGTATCAATAATCACTTAGCAATGTTGTAAGTAAGTATGCAAAATGTTATAAATGTTATACAAGAAGTAGCAGGGCAAGTAAAGCAAATAAAAGAATAAACTCCTTTTAAATTCATTTCTGATTAAGACCTAACATTATAATATATTCAAAGTTAATCTGAATATATTGATGACTTGCATTCAAGTTATTATTAACATCTGCTGTATTAAAGTCAAGAACTAATGAAAACAAAGGACTATTTATTAATAACTTGACAAACATTTCTTCCTGATGTCAAAAACAGTTTATTGGGTCCATAGGTAAAGATATAGTATCATAATCAGAAGGGCTATGCTCTTTACGGAGTAGGAGTTAAAGTTAAATTTTCTTTATTTCGCCGCAAAAATAAACCGTGACCTGCGTCTTCCAGTTCGTTGACACTATCTTTGTTAGTTAAATCCGCATGTCATTAGAGTATCCCAAGAATATTGGGCTGTTATGTTTATATATAGACTACCGACTGTTTAATTCCCGGCTAGCAAAACCTAATTAATCATCCAATATCAATCAATATACTTGTTTATGATCTAAAATCTTACCACGAACTTTGCACGACGTTTGTAATGAGCGCAGCCGATGCGTTTTTCTTTGCTCGGCTCTGAGTTCGCCGCACCATTAATATCTACAGTTTCTTCGTTCTCCGTGGACATTTTTTCGGCAAATACACTAATGCACTTCCCGATAACAACACTCCAAGGTCTCAGAACGTCATTCAATGGATTCTTTCAATTATTAAATTGGACAGTATGGAATGGAACAACATTTTATTTGCTTGACATGACATCTGGCTGATTTGTGTAACTTTCCATTATTTACCTTCGGTTTTTTTTAGCATAATAACCTGGTTTAGTTTATCTCAGGTGAGCGTAAATGAGATGGAAATAATGTAATGCTATTGATACACAAGTACCTTGATTACGATACTGAACCGCATTTTGACATTTGTATACGTTTAGTTTCTCCAACACAAAATTATCTTGTTTAGTATGGTGTGTAAGTGCGGGAGAGCAATGTTTCGCGGGAATAAACTGTCTCGGCCGGAGTGACACCATGGCTACACAGAATCCTTGGCGGAGTGCCCAGCTTGGCCCGAGCAGTGCCGTGACCTGGTCGCGGCAGTAGGTGCTGGGTGAAATCTCTCGTTTTCGGCTGTAGTGCCTACTATGGTCGGGAGCGAGTTAGGGTGGAGTGCCGTCGCTACCTTCTGCGAGGCCGTGATGCTCGCAAAGGAGGCTCCTCTCTTCCCTCCCGCAGCAGACGCACTAGACGTCGTAGGGTTTCCGACCTGCGGCTACCGTAGGGCGCAGCCTGCGAACGACAGACTCGGGGCATTCTTGTCGTCCGACCAGCAGCCGGCCTCGAGGCGGCGGCGCCGTGTTCCACGCGTGCCTCATAGTGGTCCTGCGGTCAGGGTGACGGCCGCAGTGGGTGACGGGACCCGCCTTACCATCTGGCGGGACAATACCCGTCGGGGGGTTGCGACGAATGCTTCGGCGATACCCACCCTTCCGACACATGGGTAAGTGGAGGAACACCGGGTTGATTTTTAGTCAGTAAGAGTCTGAAGAGAAAAGTTATGTACTTACCTACTAATAAAACTAAGTACCTAATTAGAAAAGTTATGTACTTACCTACTGATAAAACTAAGTAAACCCATGTAGTCGCTCAATGCAACTACAACGCGTTCAATTCGAAAACGAACCTCCGCAAGCGTCTAGGACACATAGATTGCAAGGAACATTGCATGATTGCCAGAAACATTCTTCTTGCTACTCGATCATGCTATAGCTATACTTATATATATATATATGCTATACCTATAGTAGGTACTTTTATTTTGAGGTTGTGCTACGTGACAACACCAATTAGGCTAGCCACATAATCAACTTGATTAAAGCTGTAGCGACATCTAGGTAGCACACTACATTAACAACAGCACCAATCACGTGCAAGAGTCTACATCGCGCTATAAGAGTTTTCTACACAATTGGCACCGATACAGATATCCCGACAACAACCGTCGGGCAGTAGCCCACCAGGCACGAACACCTCGCCTGGTCGGAGGATCCTCCCTTTTCGATGGAGGATGAGGAACTCTCCACCATGTTCCTCATACCTCTAAAAAGCTAAAGATAGATTTTAGCCCTTGGGCTAAAGGCTTGCACCACGTCACGGTTCGCAATCTGTGTCACTTCGGGCGAATTGGCGTTGACGTAATCCACGATCATAATCTTGGTCTTAGATCGGTTTATTTTTAACCCAAGTGGCGAATACAGTATATTTTTAATTTTTGATAACTAATTTAGTGTAAAATACCTATCCTATTCATGTTTTTCATTTTCATTCAAACCTGTTCGTAAAATAAACCTCGACCAGGCGTCGGAGGTGGGCAGGCACCCGGTGATATCCGCCCCTGGCCATTGTAGTCCTCGCTCGATGGCTTCATAGTGGAGTACCCTATTCAAAGGCCAGGTCAGGAGCGCGACGAGGCGGTTTGAAATCATTCTTTCGAAGAGTTTGCCCACCTCATCAAGCCACGCGATGTGAAGGTATGGGATTCGCAAGACAAACCAACGATACCTATCATAGGTAATATCATAGAAAATAATTACTACTTACATTAATTAAACTCTACTCTTTGGTGTAGGTATGTGTCACTTTTTTTGAAGGCAATTTATTGTCATAATAATTCAGAAGGGAAATGACTACAACAAAATTTCAGTTGTAAAAAATGTAAAAGATCTAAAAAAACACAAAACTAAATAAATCTAGAAACAAATTCAGTGCAAAATGGCTAACTTATCCATACCTCTTGTTATTTTATTATTCTTTCATAGTGCCACTACGTTGTTACCTCCAAAATTCCAATGGAAGACTATGGACTTTGCGTGGGAGAATTCGGATCGGGATAGGGAGTCGGCCATTGATGACGGGTCTTACATTCCCGTCCACAACATGCCTACTGGGTTAGCGAGGTGGAAGAACAAGTTGTTTATAACCATACCGCGGTGGAAAACAGGCTAGCAGATTTTATTTAGTTTATTTAACCTCTGCTAATTCCTAATTCACTGAGAGGGATTGCTCAACGCTGTTTGGAAATCATCAATTATGCCAGTTAATAGCGTAATACTATTTTGCGGATCAAGAACAATCAGGTACCGTGGCCTTGGCCTGGCGCAGGAGAAGAAACTCTGACAAACGTGTCACTCCCTCTCACCATACTCTAAGCGGGAGAGGTCATTTGATGATTGTCCCTACTCAAAAAAGGGATACCAAGGCCCAACTGTTATACATGCCTATTACGTTTATTTTATTTTTCTACCAGGTATTCCAGCGTCTCTAAACTACGTATATTTGAATGAAACACAAGATGCGCCATTACACCCGTATCCAAATTGGCGGGAAGGGTGTCTAGCACATAATGGCTCTGTGGTCTCCAACCGCACGGTGGTATCCACCTTCAGGGTTAATGTGGACAAGTGTGACCGGCTCTGGGTCGTGGATAATGGAGTCAGCGATATGTCAAGTAAGTTTAAGATTGAATGTAATCCACTGCTTGACTTTATTTCTTTGACCACGAAATGCTCTTCGTCCTGAAAATAAAACTTTTTGCAGAATGTAAAAGATGTCCTAAATAAGAAGATAAAAAACAACAGTTTCTAAACAATTCGGCTAATACATTTCGTAGACCATAGTATTCTTATGGACAGGGAATGGTAGTCCTTTATTTCATAACGTTAGCTCTGCAATTTGTACAGCGGATGTGAAACAAGTGACGCAGCCCTCCGTCTTAGTGTTCAACCTACGCACGGATGAGTTGCTTAAGAAGTTCATCCTGAATGAAACCGTTTTGAGAGACTCCTCTGTGTTGACTAGCATTGTAAGTATTCAAGAAAAAGTATTTATCAACACCAATCTTTTTTAAAAAACAGACACACACACATCTATATCTTAGTGACTAGGAACACCAGTTTTCTTTGTCCTGAAACAAACCCGGATAAACCGCTCCTCATGCTCGTCAGAGAACTTACAATCCTGGCTAGTAGGTATAAATGTGACTATAGTGTGAATGATCAAGTGATCAACAGTAAAGGAAAACATCGTGAGGAAACCTGGACTTAAAATGTCTAATTATAAGTCTGTAACTATCAATCCGCCTTGAGCAAGCGTGATTGTGAACCCTCAAACCCACTCCTTGTGAGAAAAGGCGTTTGCTCAGCAGTGGGTACTTATAAACGCACACCCGAGACTGTACAGCATTACTTACATACTACTCTAACAACAAGGCATTTATTGGTTATTCTTGAATATAATATATCTAATCGATACACCTAGCTGGAGGGCGCCCTACACTACGTTTGCCTAGACGTGGTCTCCACTCTAGAACACGTGGACTGACGACATCCGCAGTGTGGCTGGCAGTGGTTGGATGAGAAGAGCTGAAAATCGAGCTCAGTGGCGTGCAATTGGGGAGGTCTATGTCCAGCAGTGGACGACAACAGGCTGATGATGATGATGATGATGTTGATGATGAATAGATACACGATTCTAATAGGCACATTGTATTAAAAAGCTTATTTCTATTTTAGGCAGTCGAGATAGTAGGCAAGGACTGCGCTCGATCGAAATCTTATGCGTACATCACAGACATGGGGTCTAACGCCATTATAGTGTACAGTATGCACGACGACGACGCGTGGCGGGTCGAAAACCATTATTTTCACTTTGACCCTCACGCTGGGATATATAAAGTGGGGGGCATCGACTTCTATTGGAGTGACGGGGTCTCTTCTGGCGCATTGTCACAACCTAAGAAGGACGGGTAAGATTTATTTAAGGCTGACAGCACTGTTAACTTAAACTTTTAATTCTTGGCAAAGACGAGTTCTTAAAATAAGTTCAACTTCCAGATTTTGCGACTTGTATTTACATCCAACTTCGAGTACGAAACAGTTCAGAATGTCGACGCGATTATTAAGAGATAAAAATGTTCCTAAAGAAGATATTTTCAACGGAGTTGAGGTACCATTTTTAACTATAAAACGTGTGAGCGCGAGTTTGCGAGTTTGAATTACGTTAGGGAACAGGGATCGACAAGTTAATGACGTTCGGTGCTATGATTGGCTAGCTCCAAGTTGACCAACCAATCAGAGGGCTAAACACGGTAAAGTACCGATCGCGTTGTTGTGAATTCAACTCATAACGCACTCAATATTACTTATTTGATTTTTGTACTTATTTCGTTGTTTTACATCTTAGAATAAATGTTTTATTATTCTTCTCAACACTTCATTTCTAATAAGCTACTCAGAACTTAGCTTTATTGTTTTTTACCTGTATGCTTCCTATATATTTTTCCAGATAATTGGCGACAAAGGCCCGAAGTCCCAAGCGACATCATGCGACATAGATCTATCCACTAACGTTTTATTCTACACACAGGTAATTATTTTTGAGGTGTCATTGTTATCAACAATGGAACTTATTTGTAAGTAATCAAAAATATTTTTTAAAAGCAACTATTGGGAGGCATGGAGACCCGTGCGGAGCAGGGTCGGTCCGCTAATTTTATATAAATTTATTAAAAAATACCTATCTAGCATATGATAGTAAAGTGAGTACGCATTTTGGAGGCTTTGTTCATAGTTCCCTATTACACTTCAACAGGTTTGCAAAAATGGTTTAGGGTGTTGGAATCTGGACAAAAAATTTAGTGAAGTCAACACCCCGCTGATTCTTAGCGACTGTAACCTGATGGAGTTTCCGAATGATGTTAAGGTATGTTCCAACCTAATAATTCAATTTGTAGGTACACAAGGTAATTGTGAAATTCTTGGCGTAGAATGAACAAGAAACAAGTCCCTACAAGCCATTTATAAGCATAATATAGTTGTGTCCCAAGGTTTCCCTTGCATAAATTACCTACCTATACAAGTATACTTGCTTATGTTCACAGGAGAAAATGCTTCCCAGAATTGAATTTCCCCAATCGATTAAGTAGTTTTGGAGCATCTGCAATTTAGGGCAGATTTTTGATAAAAGTTACACGGGGAATTATAATGATGTCGCGTCAGCCCTAAAACAAAAAAAAAAAACAAACTAATATTAGTTTCTGTAGTATTAAGTAGTTCTTACAAATTCACAACATTTTTATAATATCATAACCTATCATAACTTTACAAACAGATATCTATCGGGTAGGTACATTTCGATATCATCAGTTCGTAATCCAAAAAAAAACACAGCTAAGCAATAGATATGAAAGATCTTCACATTCAATTATTATTGGTAGAATATAATCTAAACACATGATAGCAGCCATTACCTTTTTTTTTTTTTTTTTTGTGAGGGGAAAATCATCAAAGACTTCTCCCGCCCAGGGCCGGGCAGGAGGGAGTGTCAGACTCTTACTGACTAAAAACCCCCCTGTTCCTTCTCCTGCTCTGTGCCGAGGTCGCGGTACCTCATTGCGCTTACCCCGCAACCCCGGCTGAACATCAGCCCTTTAGGGCCCCGTCTGTGGTGGTCTATTGGCTCTTTGAGGCGCGCGCGGAACGCTACGCGCCGTACGCTCGGGCCTGGTTCTGGTCGGGCGGCGAGCTGCCCTTACTCGCCGACCGCAGGTCCGTAGCCATTACCTGCTTTTAGAAAGCTTCTACTTACCTTACACGAAGAATATTCAATTGCAGGCAGATAGAGAAGGCAACCTCTGGATCCTGAGTGACAGACAGTCGCGTTTCCTATACGAAGCGATGGACTTTGACCAGGTCAACTTCAGGGTCCTCACGGCGCCCACATCTACGCTCATTCAGGGCACGGCGTGTGAGAAGAAGTCGTTCTTTAGTAAGTGGTATTTATAATTTAATATATATCCTACTAATACCTATTATAAATTTGCTTTACTTTCACGCAAAAATGGCTGCACCGATTTGGTTGTAGTTTGGTATGTAGGTCATAGATGATACCTTTTTTGTATGATGCTGTTTCTTGGTGGTGATACTGTTTTTTATCAACATGGCAACACGGGCGAGGCCACGGGCGGGGTTGGGTTTCTATATATTTTACGAAGATGTTGACATAGGCATTAATTCAAATAGTATTGCGATTGGGTAGAAGTAGATATGGTGCGGTTCGTTGTACAATAAGTGCTCGTGAGTTTCTGATTAAGAGCGCAATGAAGCGGTCTGTCGCTGTAATGTACGATGAACCATCCAAGGAGCTGTGTCTCCGTAAACGAAACCTTTTTTGAGGGTCTAAAATCATTCTAATGACTCCTCCCGCCTTAGGACGAAATGTCACACTCTTACTGACTAAAAACCCACCACGTTCCTTCTCCTTCCCGTTGCCTTTAGACTGGGGGCGCGGTGCATTATTGCGCTTCCACCTTCAAACCATAATCAAGATCTTAGACTGTATTATAAGGTTTAGTCCAATGATATTATAAGTAAAATATATAGGTTACTTATACAACATTCGATTTTCAAAAACGGCACACTTATGCACACATAAATAAATCGTATGATACAAGTTAAAGTGGGATGGCATGATTCAATAATCGCGAGTAAAGAGACAAATATGAAAAAGTGTGGCTAATTAGCCACATTTTAATGCGTCACTTGCTGAGCGCTTGTAACCTATCTACACCTTTTTACTTATAATGTCATTGGTTTAGTCAAATTACCAGATACTTTGTGTGTGTACAATGTTTTACCTGCATATTTTTTATGTTTTAAGATGTATTTTTTATTTTTATAGGTCGAATCAGTGACACCATGGTCAAAGTTCGTTAATCGAAGACATAATGGTAGTAAATTTTTTTTAGTCCAAACATTTGTAATTATATAAATCATTCTGAAAACGAATAGTTTTATTTACTAGAAGTACTTAGTAGACTTTTAAGAAAAAAAAAACGATGTTGTAAAGTATTTGTGTATTTTTTACGCTGTTCTTTATATCTAAAAACTTACTAATGAATTTTTGACCTTTAGTATACAAAGCTTAAAAACTTTGACACTGGCAATAAATAGTGTAAAATGAGTTGCCATAAGAAAAAAAGCTATAGCACGACACAGACAACAGGGTAAGACAAAAAAAAAAAACAGCAAAATAATTTAATTTTTTATTTAAATATACAACATGGTAGTTATAACTATGTAATTAAATAAGTCTATGTGATTGAATAATTCATAATTTTTGCTCGTGACCGTCGATTCCGTCTGATTTCGTTCACTTTGTCAGTCTTTTCGCTAATTTTAACATTTTGAACCGACGCAACGACGGACTTAGAAATGTCAGCACCTACCGACTAACAGGGGTGAAGTTTAGAGTCCCGTGGACATCGCAATATAAGTGGGCGAGCCATCACGGCAACTGAGAATAATTATAAGCAGAGAGGGTAATATCCCGAGTTCGTTATACGATATGCAGTTATGATTTAATACCAGAAAGTAATAGTAGTCGTCATCCACTACCGGTAGATGGCGTTAATTTCGTTTCACCACGTCACCCACTAGATGGCGTCGATCTCATTTCGATCGACTCGTATAAATAGCACAAAAACTGATCTTTCCTCTTAAGCACATATTGTATCTCAAAACAAAACATCACGGATTTTAGGAGGAGAATGTGCATATTGTATTGTTACACCCAAATTCAACCAATTTTAAGTTGACATACCGGCCACAATTGTACCCCATACTTCGTCCTATCCCTTCTCTCTTCTGAAACTCTTGACAAAACGTCTTACATATCGAATTCGCGACCTCTTATTCAGCAGTCACGTTACTGTAAACTGGTTAGAAGCAGTCTTAGAAATTAAATTAAACAATGTAAGGTCCGGGATATTACACCGAAGAGAGTAGCACTACATCTCAACTACCGTAGCATATAAAAATTACAGAATTTACACGGACTTTGTAATGCTGGGGCCACACTAACGGATAAAGTCAATGCCTAAAAATAATTCTTGTGTCAATTTCTTTGATTTTTTGGCTAATTGAGGTAAGTTTTTACTAATAAATGGCGATTGGCAGATCCCGATGAACAGGATCGACAATTAAACGACTGTCCGATTCCGATGAACAGGATCGCCAAAGGAGCGATTAGCAGATCCCGATGAACAGGATAGCCAATTAAGCGATTGGTAGATCCCGATGAACAGGATCGCCAATTAAGCGATTGGCAGATCCCGATGAACAGGATCGCCAATTAAGCGATTGGTAGATCCCGATGAACAGGATTGCCAATTAAGCGATTGGCAGATCCCGATGAACAGGATCGCCAATTAAGCGATTGGCAGATCCCGATGAACAGGATCGCCAATTAAGCGATTGGTAGATCCCGATGAACAGGATCGCCAATTAAGCGATTGGCAGATCCCGACGAACAGGATCGCCAATTAAGCGATTGGCAGATCCCGATGAACAGGATCGCCAATTAAGCGATTGGCAGATCCCGATGAACAGGATCGCCAAAGGAGCGATTGGCAGATCCCGATGAACAGGATCGCCAATTAAGCGATTGGCAGATCCCGATGAACAGGATTGCCAATTAAGCGATTGGCAGATCCCGATGAACAGGATCTCCAAAGAAGCGATTGGCCGATCCCGATGAACAGGATCGCCATTTAAACGATTGGCCGATCCCGATGAACAGGATCGCCAATTAAGTGATTATCCGATCCCGATGAACAGGATCGCCAATTAAGCGATTGGCAGATCCCGATGAACAGGATCGCCAATTAAGCGACTGACCGAACCCGATGAACAGGATTGCCAATAATCAGAATCAATCCTAAGCTCAATACAAGCTCAATATAAGCTCAAACTAAAAGCAAGTAAATATTATTTTGTTTTCTTGTAACAAGTTGAGGCTTGCTTTTGTTACAGATATATTTCAACTGTTTTTGTTCAGCTTTGTAGTATAACTGTGTTTATAATACATAATTAATTTGATTATTTTAGTTGTGGCAATATTATTATCATGTTCAGTATTGCCAGCACCAACAGTTAACGTCTATTATAGCAAAAATTAAAGGCATTCCTCGTTAGTGTGACCCCTGCATACAAGTAAGATTTACATTAAAACTACATAACTTGATACTATCGGGCCAACATTCTTATAAGCAATTTTGCATTGAGTATTGAACTTTAATGAAGTACTAATAGATAAAGAAAATTGGACTTTATTGCTAATTAAAGACCTCAAATGCGGCGCAAAGAAAGTCGTTCATCGACATTACAAACTTAGTAACAATAATACTCAATGCAAAATCACCCTTCCTTCCCGTAACAATACGTTCCAAAATTCCTTAACATCTAAACAGATACTACAGGTATTGAGAGATACAAGAAAATATGATGTTTGATGTATTTAACTAACGTCGATGTAGGTCCAATGGCGACTAAGATTTACCTTATAGAAAACTTGTCATAATATACAAAACCATATTCGTAACATCAACTTGACATTTCAAGATTTTATTCAATCGATTTTACCTTTTATAGCGTAGACATAAGAACTACTGTAAGTGCACCTTTACTAGTTCAAATTTGCAGTTGTACTTTGCTTATGTTGAACGGGATAAGGGTGAAAATCGTTCAGCAGGACTGTAAATATAATGTTGAAATGTCAACGTTTTATGAAAAGAACTATTATGAAGTTCAACGCTACAGCTGCCGTCTAAAACCAACTATTCACTATAACAACATGTCATTGATAATTATACTCGATAAATTCGCGAACCATCCCTCTACCAACTCGCCCGACAGTTACACAAGCAAATCAAGCTACTCTCAACTTCTCAATCGAATTGCAACTTTAACACAACGTGGAAATGCCAAAAATTCTTTAAAGATCAGTGTAGCTTGATGTGCCTGTACACATAGTATACGTTCATATTATTATTTCTAAGTCCTTTGCTCTATCGTGCGTATCGCGTGTCCGAGACGAACAAAAATTTACAAAAAGCGTTGCAATATGAATAGCATAGAGTACTATTTACAATAACCATTTATTTATTGCTGAATCAACTATCATAGGCCATATAGAGAATTGAGAATTTATATGAAAATATTAATTATAAAATAAAACTTATTATAAATAGTGTCGCGCATGCTTCTAGGTTGGAAACGTCGATAGGTATCGATAGTTTTATATCGATATTCTTGTATTTTCTCGTTCGGAAAATTGGCTTTCTATACATTATTGTTTAGCTACAACTTACATAGTTCATAAGTTTGTTATATTTTAATCAAATATCGATAGTAATCGATATAATGACTTCCTTTTATTTTTATTAACCTCTTGCTAAGAACTTTATTTCTTTGGAGTAAAGTTGTGTACCTATACTTGTCTCACTCACTCACTACGCTTGCGTCATACGACCTTAAGCTTTATTCTCAAATGCCTTACAGTCCAAAATCAAATTTATTCGTCTGATAAGGTATTAACGTAACTTCATTCTTTTCAATCCTATATTTTAAAAAGTTAAAAGGCCTACCATATTGTATTATTAATAAAATAATTATAATTTCCTATTCCTATAGCATGCGCGACATCCGAAACCGTAAAATTATGGCAAAAGAGACAACAGCGGTCCAACTTTCCCGATACCTAAAATAAAACGACACAAAACTTCGAATATAGAAAGAGAAACAAGCTTTTGCCGTCTCTCTCTTACGGCCGTCGATTGCCGAGAATACTCGAAGCGTTGTGTCATTGGAACAGTGCGTCACTGTGAACATTGTCCTACCCTACAAGGTCCGTTTTGCTGTGACAGAGGAATTTCTACCTTATCCTAATAGTCCAAGGTTGGTTTGAGTAGATTATCTAGTGTTCTCTGCCGTTTCACCGTTTTTGTGTTGGGGCGTTGTCTTGGATGGCTTGAGGCGTTTGGTCAGGGGCGTCATGTACTCCCAGCCGTCGTCGCCTTTAGGAGTAAACAGCTGAAACAAGGGAATAGAACAATTAAACATTTGTTGTTGATGTTTTAAACCAGTTTTTGGGTTTGCTTTGCGCTAGATTATGATGTGCCGCCCTTGGGCACTCGTAATATTAAAGGAGTTACAAGTGCGTTGTCGGCTTCTTGTGGGTTATACCGGATTAAAGGATTGGAGAGGATGAATGGGAAGTCATTTTTTGATGTAATAGGTCGGCAAACGAGTAGATGACACCTGCATCGGAGGAGTAACGAGTGCGTTGTCGACCTTTTAGGGATTAGGGTTTTGGAGATTTAGGGCTTGGGAAGAGATCGGGGCAGGGGAAGGATTGGGCCTCCGGTAACCTCACTCACACGGTGAAACACAACGCTATGTTTGTTTCTCGCCGGTTTTCTGGGAGGCCGTGTCATCACTCCGGTCGAGGCGACCTATTCGTATCAAAGCATGGCTCTTCCACTTTTGATTTCCACATTAGATATTATCCTTGACAAAAAAGACATTATAGTAATGAAGGATGTAATGGGAGACTCACGAGAGTGTTCCACTTCTCCCCGCTGGCGTCCCTGGCCTTGACAGCGTCGCGCTGCGCCTGCTCGACGGCGCGCTTGGCGCTGGTGGCGGCGTCGCAGTCGGCGGCGCGCAGCGCGCACGTCACGTGGCGCCACACGCGCCGCGACTCGTGCGCAGCCTGACGGGACACCGGCGCCACGCGCTTGCGACGCGCCTTCATACTGCTCACCTCGAATAGAACTTCCGAACGCTGCGGATCAAACAAATATTACTTTAATTTTCAACACACTTCCTCATAAAGTGGCTCCAATCCCAAAGCTAATAGGGACATTATGGCACATTTTTTTATGTGATAGGTCGGCTAACGAGGTGGAGGATTACCTGATCAGCGACGCCCATGGACACCCGCAACAACAGAGGAGTTATGAGTGCATTGCCGACCTTTTGGAGATTAAATATTTAATAATTGTCATCGGGTGGCGTTTAGCCATATCACATTAAAACGTCACACCATCACCAATAGCAGCTGAAGAGCGGCTAAAACTATGATTAGGTTTCTAACCTTCTATTTCATAACTTTTTTATGGAATAGGAGGCAAACGAGCTGACGTATCACGGTAATGGTAAGCGATCGGCGCCGCCCATGGACACCCGCAACACAGCGCGAGCGCGTTGGCTGCCTTTTAAGAAAGAGTACGCTCTTGAAGGTCGTGGTGATTTGGTATTACCGCCGCCGGAAGATCATTCTAAGTTTTGCTTTGATTTCTTAACACTATGTATCCAAAATCTACTTACACCAGTATCAGTCCACCGTCCATCCATCCTGGAGTTCCATTCTCCTTGTGCAGTATAATAAGGTTTCTTGTCAGCTCCGGCAAATACTTCACATGTCACCCGATGTTTCTTGCCTCCATAGAATGGCTTGGTCAAGAACTCAATGTTGGCCTTGTGGCCAGTTTGAACGCATTCTATTACGACTGAGCCACCCAGCTCTATCCAGGGGACTGTTAATATTGATCTGTGGGTGAATAATGTGGTTATTGAGATGTATTCTTACAAAAAATGAAGACTAAGGAAGAGTTATAATCGATAATGTCCATTCTGAAGAATTTAATTTAAGTTTGTGTGAACATTCTGTTCATTCACATTCTTCATAAATTACTTTTTTTAGCTCACTCAGAATCATATGTTTTTATTACACAGTTATTAAATAGTGTCAAATCAACAACAAAAGCCACTTTTTTCATAATAATAAAAAATATTCACACTTATTGGATTTCACTGCAACTTCGGCTTCAAATTTCATAAACTCTTTATACACTCATTCTACATTTGAAACTTCAATTAATACTTTACTACAAGTCAAAAATAAAATATTAACACCCGGTTTCCGAAAGGCCGATCAATGCTAAAATCAATTTAAACTCTTGTCAAGTCATCTGATTGGTTGACTAACACTATGTATTATCAACAACCAATCAGATGACTTGACAAGAGATTTAACAGGAGATTAGTTAATTTTAGTATTGACAAGCCTTTCAGAAACTGGGTGTAAGTCAAACTTTGATTTAATCTTTAATCTCACTTACATAACTGTGATTTCCAATTGATAAATTACTAGAAAAGCTACAGCTAATATAGAAAAGTTTTACCTGCCGTATCCATTAGGGAATGTTAGCGTATATTCTTCTCCGGTGTCCAAAAGCGTGACAGTCCCTTTTCCAATATTGTGTACTCCGATGGAGAGGCCGAGGAACTTGCTCTTAGTCCACACCCAGGCCTCAAACTGTATACGTTTGTTTACGTGCTCCGCGTAGAATGCTGATATGGGGGGATGGTGAGAGACTTGTTCTGCTACGAAGGATAGTTGGTCGGGACTGCACCAGGGTACCGGACCGTCGCCAACTTCTTGCTGTGAAGGTTTTGTTGAACTTTGTGAGTATTGGGGATCTTTGAGAACTTTGCTATTTCCAAGATTCCTATATTTTTAAGGGGATGAAGATAATATTATTGAGTTAAAAGGGCAATCTCAGAGATTATCTCAAACTTTTTTTCCTTCAAATAAACATGCAGTTTTCTCCTTGAGTTAAATAAAAAAAACTTTGAGAAGTGTGCAACAAATATTTTTTCTAGCAAGACTTGGGTTAAAAAACAGCAAAAAACACGAAGAAACTGATACAAATTCCACAACCAACCTAATAAGCGCAAAATTGATACATTTTAGATTTGGTTATATAATTGTAACTAACTGTATCGAGAGGTATAGAAGTTCGCTTGACATAAGTAAGGACGACACTGATATTTCAATCTTACGCCAATACCAACAGATGCTATAATCAAATAACACAATTCTCACCTTATCATTATTAGCGGAGTGGTTCTCGGGCATGCCGTCCAGGTCCCAGTGACATCTGAACACCTCTCCCAGTATGGGGTTGTATGGTTTCTTGGCGACCTGCGACTTGCGGCCGGCGTGGTACGAACTGAGGTACCAGCGCACCACTTGTATCATGCGCTCGCGAGTCGTCGGCTGGTCTACTATCCTGGAAACATTTGATAAAATAGTACAAATTAGAATAGTTTCATTTCAATAAAAATGTTTGATAACACTTTTAAGTAAGTAAGTCTGAACTAAAGTAGTAAAAAATTGGAACAGACATAATTGACTGTATAAAGGGTGACTGGTAATTAGTGACCGACATTTAAACAAGCGATTGTACTCATAACAAAGAACTTTCCCAAAGAATTTTTTTTCTATGCAAAATGCCGTTTTTGCACTCATATAAGAACTTTGACTACCACCAACCAGTACTCTGTCCAACTAAAGGTTGCCTGGTATAGATAGCTTTTAGCAAAAAGGCAGTCTTTGTATCCTATACTATTTATTAAAATTTTTGTAAACCCATGGCACAAACTCCTTTGTTTTTTTATAATAACTATCGTGAGACATACTAAATTAACTAAAAATCGCGGGTTACTCACGTGTGTAATTGAGAAAAGCTCTACTAGTTTCGAACCACAGAGAGGTTCTTCCTCATGAGCAGCGTGCGCGGACGATGCGGGACTTCGCCGCGTCCGCGCACGCTGCTTAAAAAACTTAAAAATTTTACCTCTTTATAATATTAGTATAGATTATTATAAGAGAGAATGGCAATTCTGGGTACTGTTCGCAACGGTTTAAGGAGTACATATCATTTCAGGAAATAAAATAAGTGACGTATATTATGAATATCTAGTTTGTAGGTACTTACTTAACAAATTGGTCCGGGTGTGCGAAGGAGTCTGCGTACATCTCTAAAAGTGATCGCCTCTCTAATATGAATGTCGGTAGCACAACCTAGAAATAAAAATATAATAGGTAAATTTATGCAGGAGCGCCAATCCTCTGAACTAGCCAATGGGCAATAACCATGAGACATTGTCTCTTCGGAGTTCTGCTTATAAGTCAGCCTGTAATCGTGAGTGCCCTTCAAAGCACAGTCATCCAGGTGCTAAGCGTGCTTTGTTTGGTAATTCTTTTTTGCATTTTCTGAAAATGACTCCTGGCTTATAACCCTATTATACTACATTTTATGAACAGTTGAAAATCGTTTCTGACATTTGGATTATTGCTTGTTACTCTAACTCAGGTTAGATACATCAAAGAACGAAAATTAATGATTGTAATTTGTCAAGTTCATGGAGCGGTTTTTAAATTCAATTCCTAATAGAAAGATATTTCGGAAATGTTGCCTGAATTAGCGACATGTGTTTGTTAAAACGTCCATATTTTAAGTACAATAGAGCTTAGGCCAAAATTTTCGTTGCGACTAACCATTGAGTACGCTTGGTACAAGCAACCTATTCACTCCGGCTCAAAAACAATCTGGTTTCAACTCTTAGGTATAAACTCATTCAGAAAATACAAACCCTTAGTTGTTCTTGTTAAAAAAAAAAGAAACGTTTCGTATAATTATGTGACAAAAACAAGACGTATTGTTATATGATCTATTTGAACTTTAGATATTAAGTTTATTTATGCTTGAATCACTATGAGGGTTAGTACCTAAAGACTATTTAGGTCTTAGGTGTGAATATAATACTGTGCAGTAATTCTAGCAATTGACAATCGAAACCTATTAATGTATGATCTAAGTTTTGTATTATACTAGCGAACCGCCCGGCTTCGCACAGGTGCCATGCGGAATCTTAATTCTTAATTTTTATTTTAGTAATATAACCAAAACCTAATATAGCAACTTTAATTATATAAATAATAATGACATTTTATTAATTCGTATAATACAGAAATATTTGTACGCCATAGTAAGCAGGATATGCTGGAATCAAAACTGTAACATCTATTGCACCATGTTCTGACAAATAAACATTTTTGATTTGATTTGATACTAGGTACTCCCCTATTTAGTCGATGTTAAGATGTATATAGACCTTCCTCTTCAGTCACTATCCAAATCCGTTGCGTAGTTTTAAAGCTATAAGCTAACATAGGGATGTAAGGACAGAGATATGTTAAATCTGATGGGCGATTATAGATTATCTTGTGTCGTAGTTGCGTTTTAAAACTTATAATTACAAATACACACATGATCCAGACGCAGAACAATAACTTGTAAATCACAAGAATTGTCCCGAGACACGTTCCACGGCAGCCGGTTGCCAAGCCACCTTTATTATCAAAGTACCTCGTTTTTTTGGTAAAAAAATATGTATATGATGATGCCACTTACCTTAGTGAGATCCATTCCAATCTTGACCTGTGACAGGAGATGGGTGACCACGGATCCATGGTTCTCCATGGACCCGAGGTCGCTGTCCGACTCGTCCTCGTACAGCGCTGTCAATAGAAAAAGGATGATGAATAAAAGGCAAAAGGTTTACTTTAGCTTAATTGAAAGATAGTTTGTGACTTTTTCAGAGTTGTTTAGACACCACATACATACGGGAAACGAAAAGATCGTGAGGAAACCTGGAATTATAATTTCTAACTAAAAGTTTCAAATCACCAATCCACCTTGAGCAAGCTTGGGGATTAATGCTTAAACCTTCTCCTTGTCAGAAGATGCCTTTCCTCAATAGTGGCCACTTTTAGGCTGATGATGCGTAAAACCCAGATTTTAAAATCAGAATAGAATAAAATCTAGGTTTGCCTCGAACAGATTATTTCAATAAAGGATCGAGGACAAACTGCTATAGTTTTGACCTGACTAAAATAAATGCTAAAGCAACTAGTGCCACTCTTAATATGATTTTGGAGAAACGATACGAATAAGATTCAGGTAAGTAGAGTAGGTAGTGTAAAGTGGGAGCGCAGGGTAGGTAGTATAATATAGGTAGTCAAATGACGAGATCGAAGCGGCGGGTAAAACCTAGTAGGTATTACATACAATCAAGATTAGATGAATTAGATTAACTAGCGACGAAAAAACAATGGACGGGCCAAAATAATGGGTACTTCAAATGTTTATGTAGCATTAAACAATGAAGGGCTGGCGCGTCATTGTGTTTGACACTCGACACTCGCGAAAAGCCACTGTCCTTAGCATTGTATGCTAATCTGAAGCCACACAAACTTGACTGCTGGTTGTTGGTAGGAAAGGACTGTGTCATAGGATATATGGCTTAAATGTTAGGTTCTTCGAAGTTCCATACATACAAATACATATATACATATATATCGCAGTCAACTGGTTAAATAAGCCGTTCAACGACCGGCCTACATGACGGGCCGTTTAATTGAATGGCTGAGTTTCGTAGACAGGTACTTAGTTTAAAGTTGAAGGAATTGTCATAAAAACAGAAGAAGTTTCCAGTATGATAGGTTAGGTTAAAACAGTGACCGGCACAGAAATTGAGGTAGACAGACAGCTACCTACAAGAATTGTTTTGTCATTTAGCTAGGCGACATATATTTGGGAACTGTCGCCGTGTTATGACACCAGACTAGACTAGATACATTTTGTCACAATACTGATTCGACTATCAAATGCCGTAAGAAACAACTTAGGTCTGGGGTTGCGGGTCAAGCGCAAGTACTGCGGCCCTTTCTGAAGTAGGAGACGCAAAAGGGTGGTTCTTAGTCAGTAAGAGTCTATCGTTCAACCCACCCAGGGAAGGAGAAGTCATTTGATGATGTTCCCCTTCAAGGGAGCAACTGAGGTGTTCCATATTCGCAAGAAACTCCCTCGTGACTCCCTCGTAGATTCAGCTAAATAAAACCAACTAGATTAACAAATACTGTCTTCAGCTTTAATACACAGATTTGCTTACCATCATAGTCGATCTCTCCATCGCGAGTGCGGGGCAGGTCGACGGTGGGCTGCGCTGAGTCTTGCTCCGGCGCGCCCTCCGCCTGGCAAGTACGACTAGCACTGTAACAATACAGAATACACGTTACTTATAAACACATAATATCGACAAAAGAGTCACTATAATTTATACTAGCTTCCGCGCGCAGCTTTGTCTGCGTGGTATATTGATAAGAACGAGCCTATGTTAAAATCCAGGGATTGATTATTACCGGTGATAATTTAGGATACGAACACACTTTTGTCACTTTTGGGAAGACTTGAAGCAGAAGAAGGAACTGGTGGTATTTACTCAATGTTGATTCTATTACTCCCTCTTACAACATCCAGGGTGCGACTGGAAATGACTTCTCATTTGTTGTTTTTTTTCGCCCTCAAAAAAGAGAACTTCCCCTCATTTTTGCGATATAAAAGTAATCAATTTGGTGTCATTTGCAAATCAACTTCTATGAAAACGGTTGTTGAGCATAACGCTGACAGATTTCATAGCTGGATTTCATTAGAGGTGGTTCAGCATTCTCACGCTATTGAAGACTTTTCGTTTACGCCAGTCTTATGACATCTCAAATTCGCGTGACAGTGTAAGTTCGAAATGTGAGCGCTCATCTAATATTAATGATACTTAGAACTCCAAAACTCAATTTTGAAAACGAAATTGCCTCCTTACGTCGTGTAGGACAACAGATAATGACTATTAAGGAAAAAAATGTAATAAGGCACTTGGCTAAAAAATTGCCGGTCGGAAAGGATTAATGGTCTCTTAGGAAAAGGAGTGATGGTTGCCAAACGCTTGTTATTTAATGATAACGTAACGATAAAATATAAGTAGCATAGTATAGGAGTGTGGTATATATGTGTATGTATGTAACTAGTAGATTTCTTTAATTTTTTTTTAATCTATACCAATATTATAAAGAGGTAAAATTTGTAAGTTTGTATGTAGGGGGTAATCTTTGGAACTGCTGGTCGGATTTCCAAAATTCTTTCACTGCTAGATAGCTACAATTTTCCTGTGTGCTATAGGCTATAAAACATCACGCTACGATTAAATGGAACCGCGCAACGGGTGAAACCGCGCGAGAGTAGCTAGTGTTTTATAAAGACGAACTTATGGCCTGATGCATTCTCTGCCAGTCTACCTTAGATGGTAAAGAGACAGGAGAAAGATAAATAAACGTCGAAGTGAACTGTCTTAAAGGAACTTTCAAAAAAGCATTGTTATTTTCGAGATTTGCATAATTCAAATGTTTGAGAAATCAAAATGAAATACTTACTAGTAATTAAGCACCCAATAAGTTCCAAAATATAAAAATTAAACATCTTTTTTTATTCTATTAAAATTAAAACACGAGCTACGCTATGAGTAATAATGAAAATATTTTAACACCTACTGTAAAAAAATGGAGATCGCGTAATTACAGTTTTACGTGTGGTAATAGTTTGCACGAACACTACCTTCATAACACGAAAACAAAACAGAAAACTGCACTTTATTAATGTATGTAAATTAAAATGATTTAGACTGGTCATAAGGTCCGACCTGATAAGTTCGCAGAGAGCGACTAGAGGCAGGTCGCTTTAATTTGGATGATCTGAGAATAATTGAGAAAGATCGTGTTCAGCAAGCGACTGAATATTTAATGATGACAAATGAAATAGAAAATATAACACAACGCGTGCCGTTTCTGTTTAGAAAAGAGGAAGAGGGATACAGCTATACACCTTTTATAGCTCCATATCTCTTTCTCGCCCGGAAGATTCACGCTTTAACACTTCATGGTAGGCCTACAGAGCTTAGTTTATTATACCAATACTAACAATGGCGAGATACGTTTAGTGAACATAACTGACTGCACGGCTGGTGCGGTGCCGAGCAACTGGCTGTCGTGCAACGTGTCACGGGCTGGATTCCCGCACAGAACAACTCTTTGTGTGATCCACAAATTGTTGTTTCGGGTCTGGGTGTCATGTGTATGTGCAATTGTATGTTTGTAACCGCACCCACGACACAGGAGAAAATCCAAGCGTGGGGCAACGTTTTAAAAAAATAATAATAACGACTTATTAACTCGTGAATTAAGTGAGAAAAGCATGATTAGTTTTAAGTCGCACCTGGAGCTGCCTGTGTGTCGCCGAGACACTCACACTGTACCGTGTTCCATTGTGTCTTCTAACTAGTAGGGCAAAGTTATTGAATTTCACAGTAAAACGGGACGGGCACATTAAACTAAAATTTTACCTATTTCAACAGCAACAATTCTAGAAACTTTGTGATTATCAGTTACTATGTAATCTACTTTTTGCCACGCTTATAACGATACACGGGGTACAAATACATATCATTGCAAAAAAACTAAGCGAACTTTTTGAATTCAAGTGTGGGAGAGCCAAGTTTCGGCACGAATGGGTCGGCTCGACCGGAGTGATACGACAGCCTCACAGAATACCGGCGTGAAACAACTACTTACAACGTTGTGTTTCGCCGAGTGAGTGATGTTACCGGAGGCCCAAACCCGCCCCTTCCCCTATCCCTTCCCGATCCTTATATCCGCAATCCCTATCTCCAAAAGGTCGGCAACGCACTCGTAACTCCTTTGGTGTTGCGGGTGTCGTTTGCCGACTTATACCATAAAAAAAATTAATCATAAATTCATAGTTTATACTATGCTATGATGATGCTGAAAGAGTAAAAATAAAATGAATATCATATCTACACTAATATTATAAAGCTGAAAAGTTTGTTTGTTTGTTCACACTAATCTCAGGAACTACTGGTTCGAATTGAAAAAATGTTTTTGGGTTTTTTTTATGTAATAGATCGGCAAACGAGCAGACGGATATCCTGATGGTAAGCAATCAGCGCCGCCCATGGGAACCCGCAACGGAGGAATTACGAGTGCGTTACCGACCTCTTAGAGATTGGGGTTTTGGAGATTAACACATTCAGTGCCCCCGACGCGTATGTGCGTGCGAGGAAACGCACATACGCGTCGGGGGCACTGAATGTGTTAAGGGATTGGGGAGGGATCGGGGGAGGGGAAGGATTGGGCCTCCGGTAACCTCACTCACACGGCGAAACAACGCTGTGGTTGTTTCACGCCGGTTTTCTGTGAGGCCGTGGTATCACTCCGGTCGAGCCGACCCATTCGTGCCGAAGCATGGCTCTCCCACACTTAAAAAATAATATAATAAAAAGAGATCATTTATTGAGGAAGGCTTAAGGCTATAAAACATCGGGTGAAACCGCGTGAGAGTAGCTATAAATAAATTCTGAACTGTTTGACTGAAGCAAGCGGGTCTTCAAAGGTCAGCTGTGGGAGGTTTTCAGTTGAACCTTTTGAAATGTATTCAGAATTACATCTCAACTTTGAGTTCGTTTAGTTTGTATAATGTAACCTTAGGTCATATGTTAAGATGAGGGTAAATCATCCTTTGAGGAAGATCTGCATTAATTTACATGTTAGCTGTTATGTTGGTTCATGTTATTAGGGTAGATGTCTACATCATGACAGATTTTGAAGGATAAAACAAAACCAATTCTTCAACAACTTGAACGTTTGGCGAGATATACACCTTTAAACCTAAGCAACAAATTTTGATTCCGAAAGGTTTATACGTGTAATAACATGGATAAATTCAGTATCAGCATTGTACCCGAGCGAAGACGGGGCGGGTCGCTAGTCTATACTAATATTATAAAATTTGTAAGTTTGTATGTTTGTAAGTTTGTATGAACCGCTGCTGGACGGATTGCCAAAATTCTTTCACTGGTAGATAGCTTCAATGTTTCTGAGTGCTATAGGCTATAAAACATCACGCTACGATCAAAGGGCTGCGCAGCGGGTGAAACCGCGTGAGAGTAGCTAGTCTGCTATAAATTATAATTACAGGGAGCTTGCAACAGGCAATGTTTTGGCATTAATTAACAGATCTGAATGCCGTTGACTGAAATACTTGCAATAAAACATTCAGGCAGCACAATTATAGGCATGAATTGTATACAAACTGATATTTTCGTTTCAGCGGTGCGGTTTCGTGCCGCGAGTTCAGAAATATGGCTACTTAATATTATACATTTCGTTGGAAATTATGAATAATTAAACTTTCATTTGCACATTAATTATATTATTGGATTTGAAATATTTTTGATGCTTGTTTTCGGTAGTGTTAAAAATTTGAATATAGGTAATACATAAAATAAAAATTATGTTAATGAAATCTGTTGTAGTGTGGTGACGAGCTACTAGACTCACTACTGAACCAATGGCTCCCTTAATGCTGTTCAGAAATTAGGAATTTTCATAAATACTTCATCATCTTCCTGCCCTTGTCCCGTTTTATTTGGGGTCGGCGCAATATGTTTTTTTCTTCCATTCTGTCCTGTCACTCGTCACGCTATCGCTAACTCCTCTGGCTTCCATATCACTTCTAACACAATCCATCCATATTTTCTTTGGTCTCCCTCTCCCTCTCCATCCATCCACATTTATACTCATGGCTTTTTTTGTAACAAATTTCATAAATACTTGAACATTAAAAAATATTCTTTAATAAGATTGTAGCCGGTTTGTGTCAATTAATATTTTTTGCAACGAAGATTAGCTCTTTGAAGTACTTGGTAGTAGTATACTCTAGAAAAAAATATCAGCACACTGTTATATTAACAGTTTCACGTTTTAATCTAATCTGGCCTCGTATTTGGGCAGTCGTTAACCTCGTTGTAATCCAATAAAACATAACCTAATTATATGAGCAAGGTCATACCAGGTTAAAGGCTAAGTATTAAGGTAGAACTAGGATTTCTACGTGTAATTAGAATGAGTATTACAGGTCCTACGTGGGAGATGAAGTTATAGTGACCTTCAACCTTTAAGGAACAAGTGGATCGTTTATTCCAGCTGGAGTTAGGGATGTTAGTGAAATGATGTTTCATAGTCGAAATCGGAGAAGAAGGGGGAGGTTTTAAGTTAGTAAGGAGTCTGACAACCCCGCCTCACCCAGGGCAGTTTAAGACATTGAATGTTTTTTTTTTTTAAATAATAACATGCGCAAATCCCAATGTA